TAACCACTGGGCCATCAGGGCTCCAGTTTCTGTTCAGGGGGATGAAAACCTTCTGGAAATAGTAGTGATGGCTACACAACACGGTGAATGTAATTAATGTCATTGAATTATACACTTACAATGGTTAAAACGGCAATTTTTTTTTTGGTTATATGTTTTACCACAATAAAGTTACTTAAAAATATACATACATATATGTGTGTATTGTATACTATTAATTATTTTCTTTCTTTTCCGGATTCATTGGAACTTACACTTGAACAAATTCACTCCAGAGGCCTCACACACAAAAACTTCTGTCTTCTTTCACCTTCTTGATACAGACCAAACATTTTGGCTGACACACAGCTTTAATCTATGCATGTACTCATATGTTCTAAACTGACATTCGACAGACTCTCTGCTTCTTCTGATAAGCTTAAGTTTTTAATTGCTCTGTATACTTTGCCTTTTGCCTGACTTGATAGAATGATAAAATTAATAACCACCACAACTTCAAAGTACTGGGAAAAAAAATGTCTTCTTCTGTGTTTTTTCCCTATTTTCTGTTATCAGAATAAAACCCTTAGCCTAATCTTTGTTGGGGGAGCACTTTCCCTAGTTACCGGGAAGGTGCTACCCAGTTACCGGGAAGGTGCTACCCACCCACGGATTTATAAACCAAATAAAACTTTAAATTATAACATTGCTTGGATTTTCTTTTTTGACATTTTTTCCCCAACTTACAACGGGGTTCCATTCTCACGACTCTGTCATAAGTCAGTTCTGACGTAAGTCGAATACCTCTTTATTTTTTTTAGTTTTCATTATTATTGCCTTTTATTATCTGAATCTTTTTTTTAATTGTTGTAGTTTAAGTGAAAGTTTACAATTCAAGTTAGTCTCTCATACAAAAATTTATACACACATTGTTATGTGACCCTAGCTGCTCTCCCTATCATGTGACAGCACACTCCTCCTTTCCACCCCATATTCCCCATGTCCGTTCAACCAGCTCCTGACCCTCTCTGCCTTCTCATCTCGCCTCCGGACAGGAGCTGCCCATTTAGTCTCATGTATCTACTTGAGCTAAGAAGCACATTCTTCACGAGTATCCTTTTATGTCCCATAGTCCAGTCCAATCTTTGTTATTATCAGAATCTTTATAAATCCGATCTTTGAACATCTGCGAGTGAGTATTTGGGAATGACAACATCAGCAAATTACGTGCTGCAAGACTGTATGTACTGCATATCACTAACAATACGTACTAGAAAAAAAGCATAGACGGTCGTAAGCATGGTTGGTGGTAACTCGAATACGTCGTACATCGGGACTACCTGTGTATGTATAATTCAGCTCCTGTCCCTCCTCTACACAGCACCCTCCAGCAGTGAAGCCAAAGCACTGGCTGTGGCCCGCAGGAACCCTCCTTCCCCCCCCCCCACCAGTTTCTTCTCTGTCTGTCCCCACTCAGTCTGTCCACTCCTGCCTCACTGGCCTCCTTGATGCTCTTGCAATGTGTTAGGCAGGCTCCCCGCTGGGGGGGGGGTCTTTGCATGTGCGGTTCCTTTGATCTGGAATGCTCTTCCCCAGATGCCCACATTGCTGGCTCCCTCATCGCCTTCAGGTCTATTCGGGGACGTCTCCCTATAGCCCCATCTAAGCATACAACCTTCCTCCAAACACTCCTGCTTCTGCTGCTCTGGGTTTTTCTCCATAGCGATCACTGCTCTCTAACATACTTCCTATTTTAACTATTTATTTTGTTTATTGTCTGGCTTCTCCACAAGAAAGTAAGGTCACTCCCGGGGTGGCGGGGGTGGGGGGGGTGGGGTGGATTTTTTGCCTTTTTCCTCTGCTGTATTCGTAACACCTGCACAAAAAGCCACAACTCGGCACCAAGCACTGACTCAATATTTTACACCCATTTAATCCTCCACAGCAACGCAGTAAGTTATCATTCATAGCACAAATACAGATATAGCATGTACACAGAATGAGGATCATAGTAGCACCTACCTCACAATAATTTGTGAAGCTTCAGTGCTATAAGGCCTGCGAAGTGATTAGCATACTGCCTGGCACAAAGTAAGCGCTCAGTAAATGTTGTTATTATATAATACCCAAGAGCTCCGCTGCTAACCAAAAGGTCGGCAGTTCGAATCCACCAGCTGCTCTTTGGAAACCCTATGGGGCAGTTCTACTCTGTCCTATAGGGTCGCTATGAGTCAGAATCGACTCAATGGCAATGGCTTTAGTGGGTTATAGAAAAGTGGAAGGAGCCCTGGTGGCACAGTGGTTAAGCGCTGAGATGCTAATTAAAAGTAAGATGTTCACACCCACCAGCCACTCGGCGGGAGAAAGATGTGGCAATCTAAAAAAAAAAGATCAGGCTTGCTGGTCTGGCAGAGACTGGAGAAGCCAGGAGCATATGGCCCCCTGACATCCTTCTAACACAGTACTGAGGTTCACCCTTCAGCCAAAGATTAGACAGCTCTATAATCCATTGCCCTCAAGTCGATTCCGACTCATAGCAACCCCACAGGACAGAGTAGAACTGCCCTATAGGGTTTCCAAGGAGTAGCTGGTGGATTAAACTGCCAACCTTCTAGTTAGCAGCCGAATGCTTAATCACTCCTCCACCAGGGCTCCAGACAGGTCTACAGGGCCAACAATAACACATGTGAGGAATGTGCTTCATAGTTCAATCATGTATACAAGACTAATGGGCACGCTAGCCCAAAAGCAAAGACGAGAAGGCAGGAAGGGACAGGAAAACTGGACAAACGGGAACAGGGAACCTGGGGTGGAGAAGGGGAGAGTGTTGACACATCATGGGGTTGGCAACCGATGTCACAAAACAATACGTGTATTAACTGTTTAATGAGGAACTAATTTGCTCTGTAAACTTTCACCTAAATCATAATACAAAAAAAGGTGTGGCAACCTGCTTCCCCTGAAGATTACAGCCTCGGAAACCCTATGGGGCACTTCTACTATGTCCTGTAGGGTCACTATGAGTTGGAATCCACTTGATGGCAATGGGTTTGGTTTTGAGTTTATACAGAAGTGGCAACTGAGGCTCAGAGGGGTTTAGTGACCTACCCAAAGTCACTCAGCTGGGAAGAGATGGAGATAAGATTCAAACCCTTGTCAGCATGACTCCAGAAGTTACTCTAAACCACAATGCTAAGACATATCACAGCGTTTGGAAAAAAGGCAGTGGCAGGATACAGAGAGCTGGTCTGGGAGTCCAAAGTGCAGAGTTCAAGTCCTGCCTCTGGCACAAATCCCATGTGTGACCTCAGGAATTCACTGCTGCCCTCGGGGCCTCAGTTTTCCTTCTGAAAACTGGTGGAAGTCATTCCCCCTCCCTGACAAGAGAACAAAATGGTTATGAGGGTCAAATGAGTCGGCTGAAATGAAAGCACTTTGGAAACTGAAATCCAAAACATTTTCATTCTAAGATCTGCAGCCTCGACAGAGGCCTCACCAAACACCAAAGGACTAAGAACTCTAGGCCCTGAAGACCAAATGTCCAGCATCCAAACTTATAGGAAAGAAAACGTGAGCTTCCCTTAGCCACTTGGCCTTTGTACACACTGCTCCCTCTGCCTGAACATCACCCCTGTCCTTGTGTTGTCTGATGAGGTCCTCCTCACCTTGCAGGTCTCAGCTCAGATGTCTCCTCTGCCAGGAAGCCCTCCCTGAACCCTAACTGGGTTAGGTGCCCAGTGGGCCTTCCCATCCCAGCCCTGCCCACTCTGAGCAGTCACTGTCTGGGGATGGGTCCGTCTTCCCCACTGGACCATGAGCTCCTTGAAGGCAGGGACTGGGGCTAGCTTGGTCCCTGCTGTTTCACAAGCACTGCCCGGCACAGCACAGGGCACAGAGCAGGTGCTCAGAAAATCCTAGCTAAATGAAACGGATGGATAGACAATTCATGGTGCTTCCCTGACCCAGCCAATTACAGTCAAATCCCCTTGTTCTATGCTCCCACAGGCCTATAGCACATAGTATTTTTTAAGCAGCGCATATTTTGAAAGTTTACCCTGCCCTTCCGCGCTCAGCTCAGAAGGCCCCGCCTCTAGGAAGCCTTCCTGACCCCTTGCCTTGGGAGTTCTCCACCGCCCTGGCCACTCTGGATGACAATGACTGATCACTGTACAATCTACTGAATGAATGAACGGACAAATACGGTGCAGTAACGGATTAATGAATAGACGGATGAATGTCCACTCTGGAATTAAAATGCTCCTTTTGCTAGATTCCCAAGCGACGCCCCCCCCCCCACCCCAAACCCAAACTTATTTTCCCCAGAATAAAACTGGGGCAAATCAGTGTCCTAAACAGGTGATGTACAATAACTTCCCGTGGCGGGAGGGAAACTGAGGCACGGAGGGAAGTTCTGGAAACGAGGCCGCGCAAGGATGGCCTGCCAAAGGACTCCACCGGGTCGCTTCCCGGCTTCGCCCCCAGGTCATCTCATTCCGGGGACCAACCAAAACTTAAACCCATTGCCAGCGAGTCGATTCGGAATCATAGCGACCCTACAGGGCAGAGTAGAACTGCCCCATAGGGTTTCCAAAGCTGTAATTTTTATGGAAGCAGACTGCTACATCTTTCTTCTGCGGAGCGGCTGGTAGGTTCGAACCGCCGACCTTTCAGTTGGCAGCCGAGCGCTTTAACCACTGCGCCACCAGAACGCCTACATTCGGGGCAAGTTCCACCCAAAGCATCCCTTCCCCAACACTATTGGCTTCCTTTGACGTCAGTCGGCGAGCGCTCTCTTCACCTATTGGCTGGCATTTTATTTTTACTCCGCGACCGGCCCTACCTCACGCCGGTCCTCTCGATTGGGCTACGCACATGCCCCTCTCCCAGGAACCCTCCCTATTGGCTGCAGGACTTCGCCGGTTCGGGCTATAATTGGTCATGGACAGATGTCCATCCCCAGAGCAACCACCTGAGAGGGGCTGGAGAATGGAAAGGTTGGAGGGACGTGGGGTCAGACTCACGCTGGGCCGGCGGAAGGCAGATGTAGTTCTTGAAGAACTCGCTTCGGCGGGCGGCATCTTTAATGCGGTTGGCGAGCGGCTTGCTAACCTGCCGGATGCCTAGATAGATCAGCTTCGCCATAGGGAACGCACCCACCACCATCTTGGCGGTCGCTCGGGGCGCGCGCAACCTTCCTGACTGGGCGGGGCGCCTCTCACCTTCTCCACTCCTCCCCCGCCCGTTCGAGGACGTGCGTGCGTGCGTGCGTGGGTACGTACGTACGTGCGTACGCTTGGCGGGAGCTGTAGGGGCCCGCCCTGACGTCACCTCGTCGGCGGTTACGTTCCGTCGTCCGTTCACTAAGTATGCAAATAACACAGCGGAAGTGGGGCGGTTCTTGGGGGCGGTACCGTTAAACGGCTCCCAGCGGGAGTGTGGATGGATTCCCACGCCCGCCGTGGCTGACGTCACCCCTCTTTCGTGACGTCATGCACCGACTTGGCTTCCTCGCCCAGAGAGGCACTTAATTACTCCTAATTATGTCTAATTAAGTCCCAAGTACACCTTCGCCCACAGGTTAGCGTTTTCACTGGGAATAGAGAGGAAACTGGCTGTGTAGTCATAACAGAGGCGTTGCGATGCCAGCTCCTCCACTTACTCGCTGTGTGATATTAGGCAAGTCACTTAACCTCTTTGGGCACCGGTATTCCCTACTGCAAAATAAGAGTTATAATAGCACTTACTTCATTGGGTGTTGTGAGGCTTTCTTGGGAGTCTTGACTGTAAAAATACAGTGAATTAAAGTTTGAGTGCTTAGAAAGGTGCCAGATACATACATAGTAAGCACTCAGTGTTGTTGCTAGGTGCCATGGAGCCAATTCCGAACTCATAGCGACCCTGCGTACAACAGAACGAAACACTGCCCGGTCCTTCGCCATCCTCACAACTGTTGCTGTGTTTGAGCTCATTGTTGCAGCCACTGTGTCAGTCCATCTCGTCGAGGGTCTTCTCCAGGGACTGGTCCTTCCTGATAACATGTCCAGAGTGAGACGGAGTCTCATCGTTACTATACACGTATTAACATTGTTCTTGTTGTGTGCCATTGAGACGTTTCTGACTCACAGCGACTGTATAGGATAGAGTAGAACTGCCCCATAGGGTTTCCAAGGCTGGAAGTCTTTACAGCAGCAGACTGCCACATATTTCTCCCACAGAGCGGATAGTGCGTTCAAACCCATTAGCAGCTGAGTGCTTAACCAGTGCTCCACCAGGGCTGCTTATTATCATTATTATTGCTAACTCCAGCGTGAGTGTGCATTCCAACTCCAGGAGCAGCTAACCCAACACTTCCTCAAGGAACTGACAAGGAAACTGAGACCTAGAGAGGGGCAGAGGCTGGCACAAGGTCTCCCAGCCTGCAGTGAGGGACAGCCTAGCATCTGTGGCTCTTTGGCTTATAAAACCATCCCCATTCTCAAGCAGCCTCACTTCTTCACTGGGGGTTGAGGGGCCCCAGGGAGCTGGCTCAGGAAGGAGTTTAAAGACATGTCCCAGACTGTCCTCCCTCACCCAGTGGGGAGCAAAACCATATAAACAAGGTCAGGAAGGGGTTGAGAGACATTCCTGGGTGGCAGAGTGCTGATGCGTAATGGAGAGAATCTAGGAGAGGCAGAGGGAGAGGGGAAGGCAGAGGAGTGGCGTGTGGGAGCAAACAAATGTTCTGGGTACAGAGTCGGAGAATCTTGGCCTTTCTTTGACATCCACTCTGATTCATTGTCCTTTGTCAAGTCCCTGGCACCGAGGGACCTCAGTTTCTCCATATGTAATGATGGCGCTGGCATGTGTGAATTCAGCTATTCAAGTTACTAAGAATGCCGATCCCTTCTGGACTGACCAGCCTTCTCCCCATTTTACAGACTGGTTAACTGAGGACAGAGAATGAAAAGCATTTACTCCAGAGGTAATCAGGATGGAGCTGAGGCTGGGATTTCTAGAGATCCAGTCCAGGGTTTTCTCCTGACCCCTGGGGGTGTTAGCCTGGGGTCTAGGGACCTAATAGGGGCTGAGGTCTCCTGTGATGGGCTTGAGGCAGGTCTAGGAAGCTTCCAAACTTGCACATTACTTTTTATTATGTATAATGCACATAGGTGTTCAAAAAATATATATTGATTGAACGGAAGCCCTGGTGGCGCAATGGTTAAGCACTTGGCTGCTCATCAAAAGGTCAGCAGTTCGAACCCACCCAGCAGCTCTGTGGGAGAAAAGACCTGGCGATCTGCTCTCATAAAGATTTCAGCCTAGGAAACCCTATGGGGCAGTTCTACTTTGTCATATACGGTGGCTACGAGTCAGAATCATCCGCAAACAACAAGTTAGCATCCAGGGCTTGCTTTTGCTTCTCCAGGGGAACTGTGTTCAAAAGGTTTGGGCCCCCTACATCTCCATCTCAGTAGCTTCATGGTGGTGGGAAGGGGTGGGAAGACCACTAGGCCCCCCACATCCAGGCTTCCTTTGCTCCTCTCCTCCCCCAGCACCATGCCCACCTCCGCCACTTCCTGCATCTCAGTGCCCTCCCCTCCCTCCTCCTCCACCCCCCTGCAAAATCACTTTCCTCATTAAATGCATTTTTTCTCCCATTCCCCTCCTCCCTCCTCTTCCTTTCTCTGAGAAGGGTTTCCAGGAACCTCTTCTGGAAACTTCTGGGGCAAGGGTGTGGATGTGTCTGTGTGGTGGGGGGAGTGGCCACATCTCTTCAGGACCTTGCAGCCTGTTTACACACCGGTTGGGAGGGTGGGAGGAAGGAATCCTACCAGGAGGGGTGAGGCCTGCCCAGAGCTTGGGGTTTCCTCCCACCCTCCAGACTGGTTGTAGAGAAAGACAGCCACTCATGGTGACCCCTGAGGGCCAGGGGAGGGAGGGGACACCATCAGCCAGGGCAGGCAGCCCTACCCAGCCTGAGGCATGGGAACAGGCAGAGTCGGAGAGGAGAGTGGGGGCCCAGGATGGCCCCAGCGCTGACTCACCAGCTGTGTGACCTTGGGCTAGTCACTTGGCCTCTCCGGTGACCGCCTTGGAATAGGTCCTGGGACATTCCCAGAGGTCCTTCCAGCTCTGGCCCTTGGGTCACCCTCCTGCCCTTTTCCCCAGGATGGGTGAGGGGTTTAGTTATATAATCCCACAGGCCCCCACGCTTCCTCCATCAGAATATTCCTTCGAGATAAATCCCAAAGCTAACCACTGCTCCTTGTTCACGCCACCCTCCTCCCCTGTCCGGCCACCAGCATCTCCCGCTGAACTATCGAGGTTTCCTCCTCTCTGGGCTCCCAGCTTCTGCCCTGACTTCCCATATTCTGTCCCCACTCAGCAGGATCCTGATAAAAGTTAAGTCAGCCTTGAGCACTGTGCTCCTTTAAAGAACTATCTATATGGGATCAAACTGACAACAGCAACTTGAAAGGTCAGATAGGAAGCTTAGGGAGCAGGCAGTGAGATTATGTTCATGGGGGAGGGACAGTTCAGAAAAGGAAGGTGAGAATGGTCCCACAACTCAAAGAATCTAATCAACGTCACTGAATTGTACGTGTAGAAATTGCTGAATTGGGGTATGTTCTGTTGTGTATATTCTCAACAACAAATAAAATGATTTAAAAAAAAGGTTAAGTCTCAGCCTGTCCTTCACTCAGAGCCCTGCCGTGGGTCTCACTTATCTCTGAGTAAAAGGCAAAGTCCTCACCTGGACTTAGAAGGACCTACACAATCTGCCCTGTCCCTGTCCCCATCCCAACCTCAGCTCCCACTCCTCTCCCCTCCCTCCCTCTGCTCCAGCCACTTGCTGTCCCTCACACCTCAGGGCCTTTGCACATGCTATTCCCTCTGCCTGGAATGCTCTTCCCCCAAGAGCCACATGGCTAACCCCTCACCTCCTTCAGGTCTTTGCTCTCATGTCACCTGCTGAGTCAAATGTCACCTCCTCTTCCCTGTCCTGCTTATCTAGATCAAACTCTATCCCCTCAACCAGCTTTATTTCACCCCATTACACTGATCAGTTCCAAACATTATTTTTCTTTTATTGTTTATTGTGAGTTCTGTGAAGGCAGAGCTGGGGCTGTCTTGGTCACACTGTGTCCCTCCCCAGCACTGCCCAGCACAGGGGCAGGCAGCCAGTAGGTACTGGTACCAAATTAATCTCTGTTGAATGAATGAATAAATACCCTTCCTCTTTCTCCTGAGCCCCCTTTCCACACCAGCCCTGCTCAGCCGTCCTCCAGGCAGCCTGCCCTGATTGCCCTTCAAGCAGACTCTGATATTCTCCCTCTTCATCATCTCCATCCTGACTTGGGGAATGTGGTTTATCTAGACTCAGTATTGCTCTCTCCCTGTCTCTCTCTACCATATAACTGGGGGCTTCTCACAGGCAAAAATGAGGCTTCTACACTCAGTAACCCTCTCCTTCCACCCTCCCACTGAGTCGCAGACTTCTTCTCTCTTTTGGAAATAATCCTAATTGTCATGGATTGAATTGTGTCCCCCCAAAATGTGTGTCAACTTGGCTAAGCAATGATTCCTAGAATTGTGTGACTGTCCACCATTTTGTGATCTGATGTGATTCTCCTATGTGTTGTAAATCCTAACCTCTATAACGTTAATGACACAGGATTAGATGCAGTTATGTTAATGAGGCAGGACAATCTACAGGATTAGGTTGTACCTTGAGTCAGTCTCTTTTGAGATATAAAAGAGAATTGAGCAGAGGGGAGAGGGGACGTCATACCACCAAGAAAGAAGCACAGGGAGTGGAGCATGTCCTTTGGACCAGGGGTCCCTGCACTGAGAAGCTCCTAGACCAGGGGAAGACTGATGACAAGGACCTTCCCCCAGAACCGACAGAAAGAGAGAGAGAAAGCCCTCCCCAGGAGCTGGCGCTTTGAATTTGGACTTCTAGCCTCCTAAACTGTGAGAGAATAAATTTGTTTGTTAAAGCCATCCACTTGTGGTATTTCTGTTTATAGCAGCACTAGATAGCTAAGACACTAACTTTCTTCTATTTTTGTATTTATCTAATGGAAGCCAAATATTTGACTCAGTGTACTCGTCCCCTCCTCCAGGAAGTCCTCCCTAATCCGCAGGCTAGGACAGATGCCCCCTAGGACTCTCCCAGCCCCCTGGGCTCCTGGTCCCAGCCCCGACCACTCAGGTGATGAGTCTGCCCCCCACCCCCACTGGACTGAGCTCCACAAGGGCAGAGCTGGGCTGTGTCCATTACCACTGTGTCTCCAGCACTGCCCAGCACAGAGCCAGACACAGTGAAACTGAATTGTTAGGGGGCCATGGTAGCGTCATTTCCTCAATACAAAGATCATGGCTAACCAGTGACAATACCAAGCTCATTCTTTTCCTAGTTTCTTGTATTCTCATGAATATTAACACATTATTTACACACAATTTGCATACACCGACCAGGAAGGAAGCGACCGCCAATGGGATGAGTCTTGAGGGGCTCACTGTGTCAGGGGCTGCAGCATCTTCAGCTGCACCTGGTCCCCCTGGGTGGGAGGTACTGTCGCCCAGCCCACCAAGGCTCTGGCCACGCTGTTCCTCTTGGACGTGAGCGGGGTCTCCAGGGTAAGCGAGACGTTAGCCATCTCCTGGGGCTTGTTGCTGGCCAGGAAGTGGAGCAGGTTGTGCAGAGCCTTGGCCACGTCACCGCGGGCGCCCTCATTGACCAGGCAGTAGAGGATGGGGTCGGCCACACAGTTGAGGCTGGTGAAGGCCAGCGAGCTGTGGTATGCCGAAAAGACGCGCTCCTCAAAGCCACAGTCCCAGGGGCGGCCCAAGTAGACAGCGCTGCGGGAGAGCAGGAGCACGTGGTAGGGCGCGAAGCAGAACAGAACAATGGCGATGAGGCTGAGCGCCAGCCGCTTGATCTTGGCCTTCTCCTGGCGCTCAGTGGACACGCTGCCCCGCACGGCCCGCAGGATGCCGCAGTACGACAGCAGCATGAGGGCCCACGGGAAGAGGAAGCCCACGAAGACCCGGTAGAGGTTCATCCAAGCCACCCAGCCCTCCATGGGGAACTTCTCGAAGCAGAAGGTGTGGTTGTAGCGGTCGCGGAAGAGCTCGTCATGGAACAGGGGCGCCGAGTTGGCACCCAGCTCTGTGGCCCAGACCACGAAGCTCACGGCCACGGCCGTCTTGACGCGGCGCAGGCGGGCAAAGCGCAGCGGGTGGGCCACGGCCAGGTAGCGGTCCACGGAGATGCAGCAGAGGAAGGCGATGCTGATGTAGATGTTGGTGTAGAAGACGAAGCCGAAGAGCTTGCAGGAGCCGGGGCCGTGGATCCAGTTGTCGTGGTGCAGGAAGTAGTCGACCCACAGCGGCAGCGTGCAGATGTACAGCAGGTCGGCGATGCTGAGGTTCATCAGGTAGATACCCAGCTCGTTGCGTTGTCGCACCTGGCGGTAGGCCGCCCACAGAGCCAGGCAGTTGGTGGGCAGCCCCATGCCGATGACGAAAATGTAGAGGGAGGGCGGGAAGAGGTGGTCCATACGGGAGTCCACGTGGCAGCCCTCCCACGTGCCGTTGCCCATCGTGGAGGCACGTCCCCTGGCCCACCAGGGTGGTAGGGACTCGGAAGGCTGGAGGCCATCGGACACCCTGAGCCCCCTCCTCGGAGGCTCAGGGGAACGTAGCGGCAGGCAGGCTCCGGATGGAGATGAGGTTGACTGTGAACCGTGAGGCAAGAAGGGCAGAGCTTGAGAAGGAAAAGTGGGAGGAGGGATGAAGCTAACAGCAAGAGGGAGATTTAGGTGATGGTGGGATTAATAAAGAGGTTTGTCAAAGGTGTTTTTCAGAGAGCCAATCAGAGCATACGTGAGGGAGTAATGGAGTAATCCCACAAGCGGCCAAGGGGAGCGTTTATAGAAGAGATGAAGGTATCAGTGGGAGACAGTGTTGAGGGGATGGTATTTGTAGAGGTGCTAGGAAATAAGTGTGACCACATTGGAGTAATGGTGGAACAGAATGTTCTAGACACTACTGGAAATATACAGAACAGTGCTGAGATAGGACAGACTACAGTTGGGGAGTGTTGAAAAGACCAGGTAATACAGGGGTGGGTGCTGGGATTTCCAGTAAGAAATAAGGAAATAACCGATGAGGAAAAAGAGAAGACCCCTGAGGGGTTGGTGAGGGGTGGGGTGAGGGGCTCAGTCTGGGGAAAGTGGGAAGGGTTTTTGGGAAACAGGAAGAAGGTGAGCAAGGGCTAGAGCACAGGATGGGGTGGGGAGCTTGAAAGGTGGCAGGGGCGGGGCTCCGGCTTGTCCTGGTTGGGGCTGGGGGATGAGGTGGCCCCAACCTACAGCCCAGGTCAAAGCGGACTTCGCAGTGCCTATGGGGAGAGAGGACAGTGGTGAGGGGAGTCATGGACTCTCCAGCTCCCTTCTCCCCACACCCGTCTCTGTAATTCCTGCAGGCTGCAGCGAGTGACACCCCAAGTTGACAGTTGAGCCGCATCATAAGCAACAGCTCTCTGAAAACCCGGGTTGTGGATGCTAGGTACCTTTCTCCCTAATAGACATTGAAATAAAACCCACCTCAGATTTTAGAATGTTCTTTCAGGAACGATGTAAAATTGGCAGTATTGCGCTTTGGGGAGTGCTCAGCTAGTCCAACCCTGTCATTTCATAGGAAGGGAGAAAGGGCCCAGAGAGGCTGGGTCACTCCCCTCAAAGACACACAGCAAGGCAGTGACAGAACCAGGGATGGGACCAGCCACCCACTCCTAACCCAGGGCACCCCATTCTTGATAATGATAATGATGGTGGTAACAACAGCTAACCCACTGCCCTCAAGTCGATTCTGATTTATGCCAACCTGATGTGTCAGAGTAGAACTATACTGCATAGGGTTTTTTCTTTTTTTGCCCATTCAGCTTTTTATAGGTGTAACAACTTATTGAAAGCAATTACAATAATTGGTAAGCCCCCTTCCCTCCCACCCCTGGTAACCACTAATAAACTTTGTTCCCTATACGTTAGTCTTTTCTTGTCTGTTTATATAAGTGAGGTCATACAATAGTTGTCCTTTTGTGATTCACTTATTTCACTCAGCATAATGTCTTCCAGCTCCATCCATATTGTAGCATGTATCAAGACTTCATTTCCCCTACTGGCTGAGTAGTATTCCATTGTATTTACGTATCACATTTTGTTTATCTATTCGTCTGTTGATGGTCATTTAGGTTGTTTCCACCTTTTGGCTATTGTGAATAGTGCTGCAGTGAACATCGGTGCACAAGTCTCTGTTTGAGTCTGTGCTTTCAAGTCTTTTGTGTATATACTAGGGGTGGAATTGCTGGGTCATATGGTAGTTCTGTTCTACAGTCAGCCCCTGGCCTTGTTCTGACTGATGATATTGAGCTTTTCCATCGTCTCTTTCCACAGATGTAGTCAATTTGATTCCTGTGTGTTCCAACTGGCAAGGTCCACGTGTATAGTCAGTTTTTGTTGGATAAAAAAGTACTTGCAATGAAGAAGTCGTTGGTCTTACAAAATTCTATCGTGTGATCTCCAGTGTCATTTCTGTCACCAAGGCCATATCTTCCAACTACTGTTACTTCTTTGTTTCCAACTCTTGAATTCCATCAATTGCTCATATGCAAGTTCAAGTTGAAGCTGAAGAAAATTAGAAAAAGTCCACGAGACCCAAAGTATGACCTTGAGTATATTCCACCTGAATTTAGAGACCATCTCAAGAATAGATCTGAGTATTAAATACTAATGACCAAAGACCAGACGAGTAGTGAAATGACATCAAGGATATCATCCATGAAGAAAGCAAGAGGTCATTAAAAACACAGGAAAGAAGAAAAGACCAAAGTGGTTGTCAGAAGACACTCTGAAATTTGCTCTTGAACGTAGAGTAGCTAAAGCAAAAGGACGAAATGATGAAGTAAAGGAGCTAAACAGAAGATTTCAAAGGGCAGCTTGAGAAGACAAAGTAAAGTATTATGATGAAATGTGCAAAGACCTAGAGTTAGAAAACCAAAAGGGAAGAACACATTTAGCATTTCTCAAGCTGAAAAAAACTGATGAGAAAATTCAAGTCTCGAGCTGCAATACTGAAGGATGCTATGGGTAAAATACTAAAACGACGAAGGAAGCATCACAAGAAGATGGAAGGAATACACAGAGTCACTGTACCAAAAAGAATTGGTTGATGTTCAGACATTTCAGGAGGTAGCATATGATCAAGAACCGATGGTACTGAAGGAAGAAGTCCAGGTTGCACTGAAGGCATTGGCGAAAACAAGGCTCCAAGAATTGACAGAATACCAATTGAGATGTTTCAACAAACAGATGCAGCACTGGAAGTGCTCACTCGTCTATGCCAAGAAATTTGGAAGACAGCCTACTTTGTCAACCAACTGGAAAAGACACATATTTGTGCCCATTCCAAAGAAAGGTGATCCAATATGTTTTAGGCTGGGTTCTCTAGAGAAGCAAAACTAGTAAAGCATATAAATATATATATAGAGAGAGATTTATATTGAAGAAATGGCTCACAAGGTTGTATAGGCTGGAATGTCCCAAGTCTGTGGGTCAGGATAGAGGCTTCTCCTGATTCATGTAGCCACATAGGCTGGCAAATCCGAGATCAACAGATCAAAGAGTACGACTCTTACTCACAGGCTGAGATCGATGAATCCCAAGATCGACAAGCAAGACTGCAGGTAAGCTGCTAGCTCAAGTCCCAAGAACCAGAGGTCAGAAGAACAGGAGCCAGTGCAGAAGCCAGCACGAGCAAAAAGCCCACAAGCCTTGGCAGAATGTCCGCTTATATTCAATGCAGGCCACACGCCCGAGGAAACTCCCTTTCAACTAATTGGCTACTCATAGCAGATCCCATCATGGGGGTGATCACATATCGACTCTCAACAAGGAAGTGATCACAACATTATATGAGAATCATGGCCCAGCTAAGTTGACACACAATCTTAACCATCACGGTCCACCCCTTGTCAACTTGGCACCTGTACACATCTCCTTAAACCATACATAATCTCTGATAAAGACAATTATAAAGTCATATTTGTGCCTAACATGATACAATGAACACACATACAACCAAAAATGCACTAACCCTGTTTACATCTTGTATTTTATAAACTAAGAAAACAAAAATATTTGATGCACACATACAAACCAGAAATACAACAATTAGTCCTCGTTTCTGCAACTGGTCACGTGGCCGTAACTAGTATTTAGAACTACCTTCTTCCACCACCCGTTCCGTATTCCCTTTGCCCTCAGCAAGCACCTCAGCTGGTTGTGGTTCTTTGCCTAGTGGGGTGACCCAAACCTTCATTCCTGAAGGGTCTGGGCTGTTAGTAGTCATGTCAGAATTGGGTTGCTGTAGTTTTCCATTGACTTTAATCACGAGCATGGTGTACTAAGAGATGCCCTAAGGGATCTCCTGCATTCCAGACATACTCTTCTTTACCTCCCTTTGGAGCTAAGACCTCTAGACCTGCAGAGCATAAGGTAGCAGGGACAGGAAGCAAAAATCTTGCAAGTGGGTCACTAGGGGTAATAGTGAGTGGTGCCACTCCCATTTCCACTCCATCATTCCTGGACCCATGAATCCTCGCTATGGGAGAAAGAGTACCATATATTGGGCGGTGTTTTAGAGCATATACAGCCTCCTGGAGAACACTGCCACAACCCTGCAAGATATTGCCAACCAAGATGGCACTGTAATTGTGTCTTTAGAAGGCCATTCCATCGTTCTATCAAGCCAGCTGCTTCAGGATGATGGGGAACATGGCAAGACCAGTGAATTCCATGAGCATGGGCCCACTACCACACTTCATTTTCTGTGAAGTGAGTCCCTTGATCCGAGGCAATGCTGTGTGGGATACCATGACGGTGGATAAGACATTCTGTAAGTCCACAGATGGTAGTTTCGGCAGAAGCATTGTGTGTAGGGAAGACAAATCCATATCCAGAGTGAGTGTCTATTCCAGTAAGGATAAAACGCTGCCCTTTCCATGATGGAAGCAGTCCAATGTAATCGACTTGCCACCAGGTTGCTGGCTGATCACCTCGAGAGATGGTGCCATATCAGGGACTCACTGTTGGTCTCTGCTGCTGGCAGACTGGGCACCGAGCAGTGGCTATAGCCAAGTCAGCCTTGGTGAGTGGAACTCCATGTTGCTGGGCCCATGCATAACGTCCATCCCTGCCACCATGGCCACTTTGTTCATGAGCCCATTAAGCAATGATGGGAGTAGCTGGGGAAAGAGGATGAGTGGTTTCCATAAAACGTGTCATCCCATCCACTTGATTGTTAAAATCATCGTCTGTAGAGGTCACCCTTTGGTGAACATTCACATGAGACACAAATATCTTCACTTCTTTGGCCCATTCAGAGAGGTCTATCTATCTGCATACCTTTTCCCCATAAATCCTTGTCTCCAATTTTCCATTCATGTTCCTTCCAAGTCCCTGACCATCCAGCCAAACCATTGGCCACAGCCCATGAATCAGTACACAGTCACACATCTGGCCATTTCTCCTTCCAAGCAAATTGAACAACCACGTGCACTGCTCACAGTTCTGCCCATTGGGAGGGTTTCCCCTCACCACTGTCCTCCTGGGAGGTCCCAGAAAGGGGCTGTAGTGCTGCCCCTGTCCACTTTCGAGTGGTGCCTGTGTAATGCACAGAACCATCTGTAAACCAGGCACGAGTTTTCGCTTCTTCAGTCAACTGATCATAAGGAACTCTCCACGAGGCCATAGGTACAGACTGGGAGATAGAAGGTTATGTGACAGGAGCAGCACT